TCGGCCGAAACAGGGGCTCGGGAGGCCATGCGAGACACTAAATCCCAATCCTTAGATGGTTGGGGCAGGGGACCAGGGGGCCGTTCTTTGGGGAGCGGAGGGGGGCTGCGAAACGTGAGGGCCCGAAGAGACGCAAGCTGAGGGTGAAGTCTAACCGAGACGGGGTCGTGGGTAGCCAACTCCGAATCCGCGATAATCTTCACGCTCGCAATAGCTTGGGCAACTCTGGCTTCAACCAACATATAATCGTACATCTTCAATCCTCCAGTAGACCTGCAAGTGCCTAGAACACCCGAGGGAACGCAAATTTCGGCACCCAGGCGGTCGGGGACCCGCGAGGTGCACAAAGTCGAAGGCTCCATGTTGAAACCACCCCCGATCACATAAGGCAACGAGAGGCTCTTGGCTCTCGAAGCAATGCACGCCAGGATCTCTCGATTGAGATCGTTCAGACCAGCACAATCCTGCAAGTAAACACTAGTAACATAGAAACTAGCCTGACCAGGGAGATGGACTAACACACCCGTGGCTCGATGATTTTTCACCCGAGGCCCAAAATCAGGGTAGTGAAGTCCCAGGAAGGACCGAGCCAGGACCCCGACTCCCGAGGACGGACCCCCTCCAGGTCCCAAAACTCCAGGCTCAAAGTGCACCTTCCAACCGTTTCGAACACACCATGCCTGGGCCTTACGCAGGTCCTCGGCGCTGATGAGCTTGTGCTCCTGACACATGACGACGTGCGCCGTGGTCAAGGCTAAAAACTTCTTGAGGGAACTCCAAGAGGTACAGTTAGCCGTGACGAACTCCAATTCGAGATTTTCCCAAGAGGATCCGTCTCGCCGCCAGTGATGTCCCGAAACGCTCGAATCATCCATAACTGGGCAAGCAGAAGGGATCATGGGGAAGGAGGAGTCCGTCCTGGCTCGGTTACCCTGGAGACGGAGCCTTCGCTGCCGCCGCGGCCCTGGGAGCCTGAGCGCCCCTCTGGACCGTCTGGCGGGCAGCAGCTCGCACATCTGCTGGGGCTGCTGGGGGGCCCGCTGCCTTGACTGGCGGCGCGGGCGGAGGCGCCTTGCCTGCCGCAGCCGCCTCAGCCGCTGGGGCTCCACCACCAGCAAATGCATGGGGCACGCGCAGCCTCACTGTCAGAAGCCGCCGCCGCCGAACCTCCAGCTGCAGTAGGTGCATCTCCAGCAGCTGCAGCTCCAGCGGCATTCGCAACATCACCGCCTTCATCACCCTGGCGACGACGCTTGTGGGCCAGGCGCTCCTGCTGCTCCTTGTGTGCAGTCTTGTGCTCCTCGGCGCGCTGCTTGAGCTCTCCGAACAGCTTCGTGCACGTATCCTTGATGCAGTCGGCCATCTGACTCTTGCGACGCGCTGCCTCCTCCAAGTCTCCTGCAGACACCTCCACATAGTCCTCGAGCCCGAACAAGTTCCCGTCGTCCACCTGCAAACCTGTGAGGCGGCCCTCCAGGATGTCGGTGAGGCTGATCGTGGGCAGGGACTGCTGCTGCTGCTGCTGGACCTGGGGCTTGGACACTGTGAGGTGCAACTCTGCAATGGTCGCCTTATACTCAGCATCATACTTATCCAGTTCAGCCAAGGTCGACTCCAGCTGGGCACGAAGGGTCTCAAGCTTCTGCTCCACCGAGTGGACAGCTTTGAGGTCCTTGTCCAGCTTCTTCTCGAGCCTCGCGATCTCCTTGTGAGCGGCATCGGCACGCTCCTGAGGTGGAACTGAAGACTCCTTGAGCTTCTGACGCTCCTGCTGGGCTTGCTGCAGCAGCGCTTGGTTGCCCACTCTCTCGCACAGCTGCACCATCTGCTCCAAGTCAGACTTGCTCGCCGAGGAAGAAGGGGCTGCGGCAACAGCTGCCGTGGTAGCCTGACCAGCGGCGACTCCAGCAGCCTCGCGACGAAGGGTAGCTGGGTCTCCACGTGCCGTCGTCGACGTCGACGTCCACGTGCCCGCAGAGCCGTCGTCGACGGGGGCGTTCCACCACTTCTTGCAGTGCTTGCAGTAGCTGTAGTAGCTCTCGTTACGCTTGCACCCGCAATGGCGGCAGGTCCAGCGAGGGCCACGAGCGTTGTCGCCACCGCCAGACCGAGCCATGGGCCCCATAGCGCGCGTGCCGTCTTGGGAGTGATACCGCGCCAAAAAGGCCCGCTGTCACCCAGCCGTTCTGAAGTGTCAGTGACAGCAAGCTGAAAGATGCTTCAGCCAGAACGGCTAGGAGGAGGAGGAGGAGGAGGAGGAGGAGGAGGAGGAGGAAAGGGAGGAGGAGGAGGAAAGGGAGGAGGAGGAGGAGGAAAGGGAGGAGGAGGAGGAGGAGGAGGAGGAGGAGGAGGAGGAGGAGGAGGGGAGGGGGAGGGGGAGGGTCGAGGGGGAGGAGGCAGGAGGAGGAGGAGGAGGAGGAGGGGAGGGCGGAGGAGGAGGTGGAGGAGGAGGAGGAGGAGGAGGAGGAGGAGGAGGAGGAGGAGAGGAGTAGGAGGAGAGGAGGAGGAGGAGGAGGAGGAGGAGGAGGAGGAGGAGGAGGAGGAGGAGGAGGAGGAGGAGAAGAGGGAGGAGGAGGAGGAGGAGGAGGAGGAGGGAGGAGGAGGAGGAGGAGGAGGAGGGAGAGGAGGAGGAGGAGGAGGGAGGAGGAGGAGGAGGAGGGGAAGGGAGGAGGCGGAGGAGGAGGAGGAGGAGGAGGAGGCGGAAGGAGGAGGAGGAGGAGGAGGAGGAGGAGGAGGAGAGGAGGAGAGGAGGAGAGGAGGAGGGAGGAGGAGGCGAGGAGGAGGAGGAGGAGGAGAGGAGGGAGGAGGAGGAGGAGGAGGACGGGAGGACAAAGAGAGGAGGAGGAGGAGGGGAGGAGGAGGAGGAGGAGGAGGAGGAGGACAAGGGGGAGAGGAGGGGGGAGGGGGAGGAGGAGGAGGAGGAGGAGGAGGAGGAGGAGGAGGAGGAGGTGGAGGAGGAGGAGGAGGCGGAGGAGGAGGAGGACAAGGGGGAGGAGGAGGGGGAGGAGGGGGAGGAGAGGAGGCACACGAGGAGGAGGAGGAGGAGGAGGAGTAGGAGGAGGAGGAGGAAGGAGGAGGAGGAGGAGGAGGGAGGAGGGTTTTGCTTCCCCCAGCCCGGCATGCCACGGCGCCGCGGTCCACCGCCGCCTCCGCGGCGGCGGCGGCCTCGATTTCCGCGAGGCTCCGCTGCCACCCTCTTTGCGTGCGGCAGCACGTGGCCGCCACAGCCCAGGAAGACCCCCTGCAGCACCGAACTCCGAAAGCCTGAGGAGCCGTCGGCCGTGGTGCGGCCATGAGTCTGCCGTGGGCCGAAGCCCTGCACGCCACCACGCTGGTCCTCGGCAGGCTGAGAAGCAGGCAGACGACGGCGGAAAGGGGACGAGGAGGGAAGAAAAGAGGCAGACGACGGCGGAAAGGGGACGAGGAGGGGAGAAGCAGGCGGACGACGGCGGAGGGGGACGAGGAGGGGAGAAGCAGGCAGAGAGAAGCACGTGGCCGCAGCCTGCCACGGCACGGAGAGCGAGTCATCGCCCTCCCCCAGCCGCCGTCCACGGCGCCGCTGCCACCCGATCCACCTCTGGCGTGTGGCAGCCCCTGCGCGGCTGCGACGCACCCGCTCCATCACTCGGGCTCGCACGCGCGTGCGCGGGCCCTGCCATTTGCACGTGCACCCCGACTCCGACACTCGAAGGAGAAGAAACGCCATGAACAGAAACTTTTGGCGCTCCGCGCGGGCTTCTCGGATCCGCGCCGGGCCCCCCCCCGGCGGCGCCTCCGGCGCCGCCCCTGGCGCGCTCCGCGCTCCAGGGAGGGGGGTCCAGCGCGGATCCAGGAAATACGCGCGGAGCGCCAAAAGTTTATGTTAATGTTTTTTTTTGTTTTGTCTTTGTTTTCAGTTCCCTCAACATCTGCATCAACCTCATCTTCTGGAGCCTCCTGCGCCGCAGGTAGCCCGTGACCTCTCCTTTCTCCCGAGGCTCTTCTTCCGCCCAGGCAGCCCGAGCCTGGCCACGGGTTTGAGCACCTCCGCTGCCGCTCCGATGCTGCTCCTCCAGGCCCTCCCTATGCATGCCTGGAAGCGTATGTAGGACTCGAGTAAGCCAGAACTCGGGTCAGCCGATTTTTTTTTGACGAGCGCGTCCTGGATCTTGACGAGCGCCGCGCGCACGCGGACCGCGAGGAGGTGCTCCCGCTAGCTGACGGCCGAAGGATGCGTGTGTCTGTGTGTGTGCTTCCTGACGCGGATGTTGGGCGCTCTTTTTGTGTCCACATCTGCTCCGCACGATCGCTCATGCCAAATATTTGCAAGCAGCGTGCAGGCCCGTTCTGGTGGTATCGCTCCCCCCCCTTCGCCCCTCTCAACAAACATAGCTCGCGGTTTCCATGCGTTGATCTATGAAGTGGTTTCCTGCATGACCCCTTTACAAACAGTAAGATGCCGGGCGCATGCGCGCACTGCCGCACAGCACATGCCACAATCATTCCAAGCCAATTGGCTTCCATCAAGTTCGGGATGCGTATCACCGAGCACATCCGAGGCCACGGGCTTTTTCAACAAAGAGGCTGCCGGGATGCTGCGCGCGCGCGCTCGCTCGCCGACATCATAAAGACAGCGTGAGCAGCAGAGCTTGGCCCAGGGTTGTCTTAAGAAGCTTCCGGGAAGCTGGCCAAGGTCTCTTGCGGTCGGGCCGCGGAGGAAGGAAGCTTTTTCGCTGGGGAGGTGCTCAGTGTTCCCATTTTTTGTCATTTCGGAGGTTTCCCCCAGTTTTCCTGTGGGAGATCGAAGTTCTACATCTGGAGCAAAAAGGCTTCGTTCCCCTCAAGTTAGGGTTCCTTAGGACAGCATTCCGGCTGCACTCGGATTGCAGAGGCAGAGGGAGGAGGAGGAGGAGGAGGAGGAGGAGGAGGAGGAGGATGAGGAGGAGGAGGAGGGTGCACGTATAGTTCTCTTGATTGCACCTTCGGCCGTACGCCTGCCGATGCGGGCCTCCGCCGGGCAGGTCCACGCCGCCCCCTCGCCCGCGGGCGCGCGGGCGCTGGCGCCCGCAGGCCTGCGGCGCGATGGCGCTTCGCAGGCGCGGCCTGCGGCCTCAGGATGTCGTCGTCGTCGTCGTCGTCGTCGCCCCACAGCGCGGCGGCCGAGGGCGCTCCTGCGGGCCCGGCGCCCGCAGGAGCGCGGCGGGACGGCGAGGTCGCGCTGATTCTGCTGGAGTCTCGTGCCTGAAGAAGAGTTCTGGTGGTCGCGTCGTCGCGACCTCGAGGGCGCGTCACCAGCATCGTCATCATTACACGTCGGCCACGTTCGCAGGACAGCCTCCGTCCGATTCCTGTGCATCGACGGTGCCGCTGCGCGTTGCCTCGTTTCTTCAGCGCTGTTCGGCCAAGTGGCGTGGGCCATTGTACCGCGGGGGTCGTGTTATCGTTCTCCGTCCGAGGCCCTGGGACCCTGCTGGCCCTCTTGAGCTCCCTGCGGGGAAAAAAGCATCGTCATCATTACACCCATTCGCATTTGCCAGCAGTCGGTTCCTTCCCCCCACCCCCTAAACCTCCTTGTCACCCGAAGGGTGGTCGTATAGGGAATTATTGTTGATCCCCCCCCTCTGGTGCACCTCGTGTGTGCCCGTCCCGCGGCTCGCACCTGGTTCTTTTCTACAAGGCGAAGTCTTGCGCCTCAGACTGTGCTGTTGGCCCCCGGCTTGCCACAACAGCGGCTCCCGCCTGACACTCCCGCACAATCTATTGAGACGTCGGGCCTTCGAATTGCGCTCTCGCCTGATTTCTTTTAATATATATATATATATATATATATATATATATATAAGAAAATATATAATATTATACACGAATCGCTTTCTCGGCGCTGTGGAATCGCGCTCTCGCTCGAGACTTCTTCATAAGTCACTCGGGAGCCGCGCTCTCGCCCGAGAGACGTCCTCGCCATCTCCTCTTGCGAATCCCTCTTGCGAATCCCTCTCGTCCTCCGTGTTCTTCCCCCTCCCTCCCTCCCTTCTGCCCCCTTCCCGCCTCCCTCCCACCCTTCCTCCTCGCTCTCTCCCTTTGCCACTATTCTGTTCTTCCTGTGTTGAGGGCTGCGCCACCTACGCGTGGCAGGGAAGGAAGGTGTACCCCCCCAAAAAGGGGGTACGATCAAAGACGAAGAGGGCGAGTATTGAGGGTTGTGGGGATGCGTGTTGAAGGACACGCGGAAAAATGAAGGCGAACAGTTTGAAATTGATGGAGTTATCATTCTGAAGAATATTTATTGTTGAGCCCCCCTGCACGGTGCCCATTCTGTTTTTCCAATGGAAGTACCCCTCACGGGACTGGCACCCTGCTTTTTCCAATGGAAGTGCCCCTTACGGGACTGGCTTCTTGTTTTTTTTCCAAGGGGAAGTCTTGAGGCTCAGTCTGTCTCCCGGGCCCACGAACTACTACCGCAACGGATCCCGCTTTGTTTTTCTTTTCAGGTTGTGTTCAACCGCGCTCTGGCGCGGGGCGTCCTCAAAATTTAAACAGAATTCGCGCTCTCGCGTGGGACTTCCTCGCGCTGTATTCAGACGCCGCGCCCTCGACACTCGGGAAGCGCGCTATCGCTTTGGACTTCCTCACGATTTCTTTGGGAATCGCGCTATCGCTCGGGATTTCCTCGCGATTCATGCAGGACTGACGCTTTAGCGACCCGCCCGGTCGACCCGGCCGTCCTGGTCCGCCCGCCCGACCCGTCTGTTGGGGTCCGCCCGCCCGAGCCGTGCGTCCGGTTTTGCCGCTTGTTTTCCTGCTCTTAACCCACCTCCTGCAAATCTCTGTCGTGCTCCATCCGTCTCCCTCTCCCTTGTCCCTTCCCTTCTCCCTCCCTTCCCCTGTTTGAGGGGGCTGCGCCAACTACACGTGGCAGGGAAGGAATATACCCCCCAGGGGGTACGATCGAAGACGAAGCGGACCGGCATCGATGGTTTGGGATAGACAGGTCGAGTGACACGCTAGCAGGCAAGAGCGAACAGTCATGTCATGTTTGTTATTGTTGCTGATGAAGTTGCTGTTGTTGTTGTTGATGATGATGATGTTGTTGTCATCGTCGTCGTTGTTGTTGTGCTTATTATTATTGTTTTGGTTGTTGTTATTATCGTTTTTGTTGTTTCAATTGTTATTGATGTTGTTGATGTTGTTGTTGTTGTTGTTGCTGCTATTGTTGTTATTGTTGTCGGTGTTGTTGCTGTGATTGTTGTTGTTGTTGCTGCTGCTATTGTTGTTGTTGTTGCTGCTGTTGCAGTTGTTGTTGCCGTCGTCATTGTTGTTGTCGTTGTTGTTGTTATCCGTAAGGGCTTCGCCCCCTGCCGCTGGCCCCCTCTCTGTCACAATGGGATATAACATAGTCGCGTCGGTGCGTCTCGGCGCTGCCGTGGCGCATCTGGGAACAGCATGCGGGGGCGGATCGGAGTCATCAGCGCATATTGAAACGTTGGCGTTATCCTAGTGGCCTTCGGCCCATCCCGCCACAGTGCCTGGGTTGTGGGTCTGAGGCCTCTTGTATATGTGTTGGGGTGTCGTGGGCAGCCTCTCGGGGGCCTCTTTGAGGCGGTTTGGGCGCCTCTTGGGGGCCTCTTGGGGCCTCTTGGGGCCTCGTGGGGTATCTTTTGGGCTTCTTGGAGGCCTCTTGGGCGCGTCTGGGGCGATCGTGGCCTAGGGGGCGCGAATGTGGCGCAATTTGGGAGGGATCGTGGCCTCGGGGGCACGAACGTGGCGTAATTTACACCGGATCGTGGCCTCGGGGGCGCGACTGTGGCATCATTTGCGGGGGATCGCGGCCCCAGAAGCGAGACTGTGGCGTAATTCATGGGAGATCGTGACTCCGGGAGCGTGAATAAGGAATATCTTGCGAGGGATCGTGGCTTCGGACACGAATACAGCTTAATTTACGAAGGATCGTGGCCTCGGAGGCGCGAACACAGCGTAATTTACGAGGGCTCAATCCTTGCGTCGGGAGCGCGAATCTCACGTATGTTTACGTGTCTCACGGCCCCCCAGAAGCTCAGAGCACGCGATGCGGTGACGCTAACCAGTGTCGTTTCCCGCTCCCCCCCCCCTCGCGCGGACAGCAACAACTTACAGTAAGAAGCAGAAAGCAGTATTGTTACATGGGAAACTGGAAACTGGAACTGGTGCAGGGAGCAGCGGACTCAATTCTCGCAGCCTGATGGCCCCGCAGGAGGGCCAGCGGATTGGTGTCGTTGTTGTTGTTGTTGTTG